TAGGACAGTACAACAGAAGCCGGTGGGTCTTCCTTGAGATAATGAAAAGGGTATGTTCAGGAGTGCTTCATCTGGCCAGAATCTATACAGCTAACCTCATTTTTAAAGGTGTGGAAAGGTCCCAAAATGTCTTTGTACAAGCAAGAGAATTATATGGACCTCTGAAAGCTTCCTGAATCTAAGAGTGCAGTGGATGCTATGTCAGTCAATGTTTTTAAATAAAGTTCATGTGTCTACAAACATCCAACCTGTGGAGCTGTTCCATCTGGTCCACTAGCCTACCAGTGGGCCAGAGAATTTTGGGCTGTGGCTAGTGGTGAGCATGGCCTGCTGCAGAATCTGTTGCCTAGGGGCCTGAGTGAATATAGCCATTGGTGGTAGGGGAGTGAGTTAGGGCTGTGCAAGACTGCCTGGCCCGCTGCTGCTTGCACCCCTCCACCACAGCAAGTACATGCCTGGCCTGCTGCTGCTTGTATCACTGCCATGTGGTGGCCACTGTAGTGGCCACAACTATGACCTGAGGCCCTGGGCTGAATCTGGAGTATTCCTCAGGCCCATGAGGAGCCACTTAGTGTGGGTTTGACACCCCTGATGTACAAGATCCATTTTTTGCTGCTACAACTTTAAGCTCTGTTTCCCCTGTGAAATGTGTTGAGTTTTCATTGGCAGGCAAGGTTCTTTGGGTAGTTTTGAAATCTTTTATTAGACCAACTGAGTAGTTGGAAAAAAGTTCTTAGCAAGTAATTAGGTTGTAGCCGTGTTGGTCTAAGGACATAGGCAGACAAGGTTCCTTGGGTGAATTTGATATCTTTTATTAGACCAACCCAAATGGTTGGAGAATAGTTATTAAGCAAGCTTTGGGGTTCAAAAACCCTTCGTCAGGCTAAGGAAGTTTCAGCAGTTGGTGTGTGCTCTTCCTGGATGGAATGAAAAGTAAAGAAGCCAGGGGCTGGGCTGGGGAGTCAGTTGCCAGGCAGATTATAATGCATCAAAAATCCAATGTCTATGTTTAGTCCATGATCTGTTCCTTGGGTGAATTTGATATCTTCTATTAGACCAACCCAAATAGTTGGAGAAAAGTTATTAAGCAAGCTTTCGGGTTCAAAAACCCTTCGTCAGGCTCAGGAAGCTGCAGCAGTTGGTGTGTGCTCTTCCTGGATGGAATGAAAAGTAAAGAAGCCAGGGGCTGGGCTGGGGAGTGGTGGGGGTGGAGATGTGTTGGCAGGTTTTGCATTTCTTGTCCTGGCACAGTCTGGATCCTTTTGGTGTGTTCTGGGCTTGAGGAAGTTTGCTTCTGGTGATGAGGTTGTCGAGGTTCAGTGCTTGTTTAAAGGCTAGAATGGGTGGCTCTGGGAAGATCTTTTTAAGAATAGGGTCTCTGTCTAGCATGGGTTGCAATTTTTTGAGGATTTTCCATATAGGTTCAAGGGAGGGCCCTTATTATTTATTTATTTTCAACAACTGAGCACCAGAATGAACGCACACCGGAAATCCATCAAAGACAGAAATACCCAATTACCGGTGGGGGCACATTTCTCACAGGAGGGCCACTCTCTCTCCAACCCCTCAGTCCTGATCCTTAAGGGAAACTTACACAACACTTCCCAGAGACGAGCCTATGAGCTCCATTTCATCAACCTCCTGGATACTAGAGATCATGGACTAAACATAGACATTGGATTTTTGATGCATTATAATCTGCCTGGCAACTGACTCCCCAGCCCAGCCCCTGGCTTCTTTACTTTTCATTCCATCCAGGAAGAGCACACACCAACTGCTGAAACTTCCTTAGCCTGACGAAGGGTTTTTGAACCCCAAAGCTTGCTTAATAACTATTCTCCAACCATTTGGGTTGGTCTAATAAAAGATATCAAATTCACCCAAGGAACCTTGTCTGCCTTAGCAAGTAAAGCTTTCATCATCCTTTTTGGTTAGATCTCATATTTTCTCTTAGGGAGAATACCTTGCCTCTAACTTTTTACAGCAAAATTCCTCTCTGGATGGGTTGGAGACGAGACATTCCCTCTCTATCACTATTAAACCATAGGATCTTCCTGCTACCCATAAAGTATTTGAATACCCTAGATTACTATGACCCCATTTAAAATGAAATGAGTTCCAGCACTTACTTTTAATTCCTCATCTCTCCTATGGTGCCATCTGGTCTGGCTCTTCTCATGTGATACAGCACACTCTGGATAGCATGTTCAGTTTCTATCCTCACTTAAATGTCATGATTTATTTTATTTGCACTTCTGTATGTTTTCAATTTGAAATTATACCTACACTGTCCAATTTCTCTACTTTTCACAAATTGCTGTAACGATTCTTCCCTCTTCCACACATCACCTCTTCCTTCCATACCTCAGTCTCTTATCCCCTAGAACCACTTGAACTGTTTTCTCTCTTTCCTCATACTCATCTCATTCTTTTTTCTTCACACCAAAACATCACCTACTATCCTCCCATTCTGCACAGCTTCTAGTCTCTTTTCTGAGATTTGTCTCCCATCTTACCTGTCTTCATTGCTCTACAATCTGTGTTTTTCTTTCTCCACATTCCCCAGCCAGTCAGTAAATTTATCCCAAACCAATGCACTTTCTTCATTGTTTCTAATACTTTATTGTGTTCCTATTATACTGATATGTTCCTCCTATCCAAGTCATCCAGCCTCTCTTCCACTTCTAAACTCACTTATTTTCATAAATAGGGATCCTAGAAATCTGTTTGCCATGAAAAAATGTGGAATTTGCATTTTTACAGAAAATCTTTAGAATTGCTAGAAAAAATGTATTCGAAAATAAAATGCTAGCTTCCCAGTGGGAACCAGTGGTTCTCACAGCTGCTGTGACAGGCCACTCAAAGAAGATGCCAGCACACAGGGAAAAAGCCAAGATGGTGCATTTCTCCCCCCCTCGGTTGCTGATTGGCCGAGAGGGATGTCCATCATTTAGCCCTGCCCCTCTCCAGCAATCAGAGGTAAAGGGTGGGGCCATGTGAAGGGCAGCCCTCTTAGCCAGTCAGTGGTGAGGGGTGGAGCCACCACTGGGGCCCTTCAGCCAATCATTGTTGTGAGGGGTATGGAGACTCACCAAGGAAAAAAATGGATTTTTATGGTATTTTATTGGAGAACTTTGGGATTTTTATCATGGAAAACTCCCTTCCCTGTTCATCACTATGCCTATACTATCTCCTCTCCTTTTCCAGTCTCCTCCCTTCCATTTCTTTCTGATGTCCTCAGTTTCTTATCCTTTTCATAATACATTTCTCACTTCTCTTTTGTAGACACCTAATTCTTATCTCCTTCTCTTCAATGACCCATTTATATTTTTTTAAATGGTGTGAGTATTGAATGGAGTGCTTCACACTTTTTTCAAGAAGCACAATGAATAACATCTGTGATTCATTCATTTCCATTTCCCATCTCTGTTAGAAGATTCCCATACCCTATGATTTTGGTTAATAAATGTATTTTGCACAATTAATTTGTGTCTACCAATGTTACCAAGAAATATACTGTGCACAAAGGTTTGCTCTTTACAGTCGTCTTGTTTAGTGAAGTATATGTTGAAAGATAAACATCAAGTAGGAATTTCAAATGGAATTCTCTTATTGTACAACATTATCTTTTTAAAATTGGATTACGGCAAGGTTCTTTATTGCAACATAAATTCACAATGTAATTATCACAATACTTGCGTCTTAGAGGTATTAGGGCTATTCAGGCTAAGTGGCAGTCTAAATTCACTTCATGTTTTGATAGGCATGAACAAATCATGAGAGCAAATTTCTGGATGCTATATACCTACCTTAATGGCTTTTGTAATTATTCCATTTTTGCTTTTCCTTTCGTGGGTGGAAAGCCCGCATTTTGAGCTTTCATTCCTAGAACTTACCTATATTTTAGAAAATTTAGCTAAGTTTTCTGAATTAATGTAGGAAGCTCATAATGATGAAGAAAAATGAAATGTTGAAGAACACTGTGCCCACTATAACAAAAGCACATTAAACATTCTTGTGACACTAAAGTAATCAGCTTCTGTTCTGCTTGCCTCACTTAAATATTTACTGTAGATTATTGTAAACCTAGTTTCCCCACAGCCTTGGATTCACCTGATAAGGAGTCTTTAGACTTTAAAGGTCTCATTTTTAAAGGTGTGGACAACTCATTGCTCCCATTAAAGCCAATAAGTATTCATCTAATACCTCATCCTTTCAGGGTTGTTACTTTTAGGTAATTGACCATGTTCTCCCATATTTGTGCATTTAATTTATTTGATGTTACCTACAGCACTGACTTGATGTTATCTTACTCTGTCATTTCTCATCTGGTTTGA